TAATCAGCAAAGCATTCAAGAGGTAACGTAGGTATTGTCAAAGGCATTCAGTTTTATAAGGGAAGCAGACCATAAAAGTTTGGAAAATTTGCAGCCTGACTATGCAATACAAAAGAAAAATCCATTTTCTGGGGAGAAATTCAAGCTGGCTACAGAAATTTGCATAAGTAGCAAGGAGCTTAATATTAATCTCCAAGAGCTTGGGGGAAATGTCTCCAGGCCATGTCAGAGACCTTTACAGCAGCCCCTCACATCAGAGGCCCAGGAGGAAAAAGTGGCTTTGTGGGCTGGGCCCAAGGTTCCATTGCTGTATGCAGCCTAGGGACTTGGTGCCCTGCTTACCAGCTGCTCCAGTCATGGCTGAAAGGGGCCAATTTTACAGCTTAGGCTGTGGCTTCAGAAGGTGGAAGCCACAAGTCTTGGCAGCTTCACATGGTGTTGAGCCTATTAGTGCACAGAAGTCAAGAACTGAGGTTTGGGAACCTCCGCCTAGATTTCAGATATGTGAAAACATTTGCATGCCTAGGCAAAAGATTGCTGTAGGGATGGAAACCTCATGGAGAACCTCTGCTAGAGCAGTGCAGAAGGGAAATATGACGTCAGATCCCCCACACATAGTCTGTACTGAGGCACTGCCTAGTGGATCTGTGAGAAGAAGGCCACCATCTTCCAGCCCCCAGAATGGTAGATCCACTGACAGCTTGCACTGTGAGCCTGGAAAAACCACAGACATTCAATGCCAGCCTGTAAAAGCAGCTGGGAGAGAGGCTGTACCCTGCAAAGCCACAAGGGTGGAGCTGCCCAAGACCATGGAAACCCACCTCTTGCATGAGCCTCACCTGAACGTGAGACCTGGAGTCAAAGGAGATCATTTTGGAGCTTTAAAATTTGACTGCCTCACCATATTTTGGACTTGCATGGGCCCTGTAACCCCTTTGTTTTGGCCACTTTCTCCCATTTGGAATGGCTTTATTTACCCAATGCCTGCACCTCCATTGCATCTAGAAAGTAACTGGCTTGCTTTTGATTTTACAGGCTCATAGGTGGAAGGGACTTGCCTTGTCTCAGATAAGACTTTGGACTGTGGACTTTTGGGTTAATGCTGAAATGAGTTAACACTTTGACGGGCTGTTGGGAATGCATGATTGGTTTTGTCATGATTGGTTTTGTAATGTGAGTACATGAGATTTGGAGGAGCCAGGCATGGAATGATATGGTTTGGCTTTGTCTCCACCCAAATTTCAACTTGAATTGTATCTCCCAGAATTCTCACTTGTAGTGGGAGGCACAGAGGGGGAGATAATTGAATCATGGGGGTTGGCCTTTGCTGTGCTATTCTCATGAGAGTGAATAAGTCTCACAAGATCTGAGTGGTTTTCCAGAGGTTTCCACTTTTGCTTCTTCCTCATTTTCTCTTGCTGCTGCCGTGTAAGACGTGCCTTTCACCTCCTGCCATAATTCTGAGACCTCCCTGGCACTTTGGAATCATAAATCCAATTAAATCTCCTTTTCTTCCCTGTCTCGGCTATGTCTTTATCAGCAGTGTGAAAACAGACTGATACAATGTAGAAGTTTGACTTTACTATGCCAGTAAAGTAAACAAAAGTTTCCTTGAGTAACAAAATCAGAGTCCTGTCTACAGAATGGTTCATCTGGGCTACTCTGTTAAAAGTCTCCAAGTGCTGAAATCAGACTTTTGTCAGAAAAGCTGTGCCATTCCTACAGGCTCTGAAGATGAATCTGCTTCCAAGTTTATTTTGGCTGTTGGCTAAATTCAGTTCCTTGAAGTTGTAGGATGGAGGTCCCAATTTCCTTTTAATTGCTATCAGATGCTAGAGGCTGCTCTCATTTCTTCTAATGCTTTTCATGTGGCATGCTTTCCTGGAACAATTTAGTCTCTTTCATGCTTTGAATCTCTCTAATTTCTCTTCTTCCATCTCTCCTATGTCTTCCACCATATCTCTCCTACTTACAGATTGAGCAAGTTCTCTTTTTATGAGCTCACATGGTAGATGAGACTCAGGGAATAATGTAGGGTAATTCTCTTTTTATGAGCTCACATGGTAGATGAAACTCAGGGAATAATGTAGGGTAATCTCTCTGTTTCAAGGTCTGAAACCTTAATTTTATCTGAAAAGTCTCTTCTTCCATTTGTAAACCTAAAATGATCAAAATAATTAGAATCTGATTTAAACAGAATTTATTCAAGTGCAAAGTGTGAGGGTGGACACTGAGGGGGCAAAGCTGTACCAAAGAATGTTGACCAGTGTTCCTGGTATGGGAAAACATAAGAACCACTTATACAGACAAAATAGAGGTGTCAAACAGAAATTACATTTTCCATAGAAAGGCTAACATAGAGATATAAAATTTGATTGGCTACTATTGATTATGTTCTAATGGGGTTGCTTAACATTGTATTGTAAAGCAGTAAATGTCACAAGGGTCTCTACCTTCATGTCATTTGTGGAGGTAAAGTGAAAGTGAGTGGGGACTACATTCTATACCCCTATATGCTGTTGAAGATATATGTCAATTTTAAAGTGATTTTACAATTTTAATGGGCCATTTTGGCATATCTGCATAAAAAATATTCTACATTGATCCAATGTAAAATTATATAGCATGATTTGTAAATAAGGTCTGAGATATGCAGTTCCTTCAGTTGTATCTCCCTATCACTATACAGAAGACCTTTTGACGTAATGGTAAAGTGGAAGTGGATGAGAACTACATTTTATAGCCCTATAATTAGATCTCAGCCTTTTAGTGAGCCTGTGTCCCCAGCTTGTGACTCTGACATATACTTCTTAGTTATTTTTTTTCTCCTCTTTGGCAAGGCAAAAAGATTATTAGGGGCTGCAATTGGGCATTCCGTTTCCTCCAAGTTGATTAGACTCTAGTAAATAGTTTCTCTTGAGGACAGTCCTAAGTGAAACAGAATACTCTGAGCATATTTCTTTTTATAATTGGAAAATGTTTATTTACTCACTCTCTGACTTTGAATATGTCACTTCCTCATATTTAAATACTAATAACTCCCTTGCAGGAATTTTTGTAAATTAAATAAAAAATATATTAAGCATCTAGTATATAAGATATAGGTACTTGATTAATGCTGACTAAGAAAACTATTAATGTAAAACAAGCAATAGAATAGATGAGTTGGGTCAAGGGACTAGAAGGAGTAAGAAAAAAAAAGCATGTGTTTGTAGGCAGAGAAAGAGAATTTCCAAGTTAAGGTGTCTAAGATCAAGTAGTTTATGGTGATAATGATAAAATATCAATAGAGAACATTGAGGTAAAGTATCAATGAAAAAAATTAAATCTCCTCCAGTTTACCTATAGGTAGTAGCCTCTAAGACTTAATTAAAGACCCAACAGAAAGAGAATTGCACTGCATTTTATCACAATGTCTTCTGTCTTAAAATAACAGTAGGGTCTGTTGCTAAAATTTTTCCAAAAAATTGTCAGAAGTTTTTGAACAATTTCCCGGGCTTTTGGAATAATAGTCATGTGGCCTCTGCGTCATTTCCTTAACTCATTGCCAGGAAAACACTTCAAATATAAGTAAAACACAAAATATGTTTATTTCGTTGAAATGACCACTTGAGGCATTAGTAATTTTGTGTATTAGTAGGTGTAATCATGTTTTGCCTACCTTAAGTTAGAGGTTAAGCTAGTTATCTCCTGAAGTCCTTCCCAGCTCTTATAACTGAATGTTTAATATTCTGTTTTACTTTTCATTTGATTTCTTGTCTATTTTTTATTTGTTTGTGTTTTTTTTCATTCCAGGATGAATGATGAAGATCAGACCCTATTATTGTACATTGGACTGTACAATAATACGATGTACACTTCAATGTACAATAATAGGGTCTGATCTTTATCCTTCTTTAGATCTCTGGAGCCATAACAAAACTATTTTAAGCATACAATAAAAGGGAAACTAGTAATTAAAATATTTTTCGCTGACTCATGACACTAAAAACACAGGGAACAACAAAAAAATACATAAGTTGAGCTACATCAAAATTAAGATCTTTCATCCATCCAAGATTACTGTCAAAGATGTGAAAGGACAACATACTGAATGAGAGAAAATATTTATAGATCATACAACTGATAAGGAATTAATAGAATATACAAAGAACTATAACTCCGTCAATAGCGTTAAAATGGCCATACTGTGAAAAGCAATAGAGTTAACGCTATTCCTGTGAAACAATACCAATGTCATTTTTTACAGAATTAGAAAAAACTGTTCTAAAATCAAAAAGACCCCAAACAGCCAATGCAATCATAAGCAAAACCGAGAGAGAGAGAGAGAGAGAGAGAGAGAGGGAGAGAGAGATCACATTGCCCAGCTTTAAAATGCACTATAAGGCTAGAGTGACCAAAACAGCATCATACTAGCACAAAACAAACACATAAATCAATGAAATAGAATAGAGAAACCAAAAATAAAGCCACATACTTACAACCATCTTATCTTTGACAAAGTTGATACAAAAAAGTCTGTAAAAAAAATGACATTGGTAGTGTTTCATAGGAATAGCGTTAAATCTATTGCTTTTGGCAGTATGGTCATTTTACATATATATGCACTCTTTTATATTATCCAAAAAGATATTTGTAGGCTTTTATCCCTTGCCTCCCTCCCACTCTTCCCCCCACCACGAGTCCCCAAAGTCCATTGTATCATTCTTATGCCTTTGTGTCCTTGTAGCTTAGCTCCCACATATCAGTAAGAACATACAACATTTGGTTTTATATTCTATTATATATATATTCTATTCCATTCTATTCTATTTGGTGTGTGTATATATATATGTATATATATATATATATATATATATATATATATATATAATACTCTATATATAGTATAATGACTTATTCTCTGGGGTAGATACCCAGTAGTAGTTTTGCTGGATAAAATGGTAGTTCTACTTTTAATTAATTAAAGAATCTCCACACTGTTTTTCATAATGGTTGTACTAGTTAACATTCTCACCATCAGTGTAGAAGTGTTTCCTGCACTCTGTGAGTGAAGTGTATGCTGCTCAGGTGATGGGTGCACCAAAATCTCACAGATCACCACTAAAGAACTTACTCATGTAACCAAATACCACATATACTCCAATAACTTAGGAGAAAAAAAGAAAAAAATATTACAAAGTGAACACACTTGTTTAACCTAGAAATAGAACCAGTGTCACTGAATTTCTGGCAACCACTTTCTTTGTGCTCCCCAAAAGTAACAAAGATCTTAAGAGCTAACATTGTAGATCAGCTTTGTCTTTTTATACGTGTTTTATTGCAGAAAATGTAAAACATATACAAAATAAATAAATAAACAAAATAAAATGTAGGCCTGTAAAATGGGCAAAGAACTTGAATAAACATTTCTCTATAAAAAGATGTACAAATGGATATTTTGTATAACATGGAGCTTTTATATATTTATGTAAACATGGAAAGATCTCAAAGAAATAATTATGCATAAAAAGCAAGTAGTAAAATAACATGTACAAGAAAATACAATTTCTACAAAAGCACATGAAATGATAAAATATATTTTCTATTGATATTGAGAGACGCATTTAAAAATATGATTGATGTTTAAAAATGTCTTGAAACACCTGCCCCAACCTCATAATTGTGGTTACCTTTGGCTGGAAGAGGTTTTTGGGACTTCAACATGGAAGATACATATCAAGAAATATTTAACTACATCTGTAATACCCTAAGAAAAGAACACATATCTATATATTAAGGATTTACAGAGTGCCTACATAAATTGGTTATGAGTAACATATAAACAAGGAACAACAATCTGCGGAAGGCCGCAGGAGGCCTCTGAGGAGGAAGGCCTCTCCATGCCTCATGTTCCAGTGCAGGTGACCTCGGCTGTGTTACCATAAACATTGTGCTCAAGGACGTAAAACTCCTTCGTAGCACCATGACGTAGCCAGACTTGTAGGCTCCTTGTAAGGCCTGAGTTCCACCAGCTGCACATAGATAATAAATTAAAGATAACCACATGTTCTTGTTTTGTGAAACTCCGAAACTGCCACTGTTATCAATTCTTAGGATGACACACCAGTTCTGGCTCACTGGTTTACTTCACGGTCACTCCACCCCTACCCTATAGATCAAAGTGATTGTAATCAATAAATAGTGTGGATGATCAGAGCTTGGGGCCTTCGCTGTCTCCTCCAAAGTAATAAGTGATACCCCTCTGGTCCCACTGTCTCTCTTAATCTGTCTTTTTCTCATTCCTTTGTCACCACCAAACATGGGGTACCTACAGGTAATGTAGGGCTGGTTACCTACATTCTGGCACTCAACTTGTGAGGCTCCTGGATCCCTACATTCTGGTGCCCAATGTGTGGGGCTCATGGATCCCTACATATAGTATAACAAAATGAAAAAAAAAAAGTATTTTGAAGAACTCATAGTACCTAGTTTTAACTATATATCACTGAAAGAGGCACTGAATAGGTAGAAAAAATGATCTTGAATCACCTATGGCACCCCTCCCTCAAACCAATGCAGGGGCAGCATGGTGTAAAGAACATTTCTGTGCACTAGAGAGAAAGAGAACACAACAATTGTGAAGCATTGAGTTCAGTGTTTTCAGTGTTGCCCTGTTATAGCAGAAAAAAAAGCACACTCAGTACACACACACACACACACACAAATGCACACTCAGCTGACACCCATCCATGGGCAGAGAAAGCATTGAAACCAGCCCTAACCAGAAAAAAGGCACTAATCCCAGTAGTTGGAACTTGAGTTTCCACAAACCTTGCTGGCACAGGTTAAAGTGTACTTGGGTTCTAAAAATACCTGGAAGGCAATTATTTAGGCCACAAGGACTGCAAATTTTAGGGAATTCCTAAAGCACAACTGGGCCCAGAGCCAGAAGACTGAGGGGCATGCAACCTACTGAGACACCGCCTGAGGCCACTAAGAATGTTCTGACATGCCCCCTCCACTAACCCCAGGCTGCACATCTCAAGGCTCCAAAGGAGATCCTTTCCTTTCGCTTGAGGAGAGAAGAGGCAAGAGTGGGGAAGACATTAGCTAGCATCTTGGATACTAACTAAGCCACAAGATAGGAAACTGTCAGAGACATGAGATTTTCTTAGAAAGTCCTAGCTCTCAGATGACATTTCTAGACACATGCTAGAATGGAAGGGAACCAGTTGCCTTGAAGCGAAGAACCCAGTCCTTGCAGACATCATCACCTGCTAACTGAAGAGGCCTTGGGCCCTGAATAACTGGCAGCAATACACAGGTCCTATGGTGAGGACCATGAGTGAGACTCAGCCTTGCTGGCTTCAGGTCAACCTCAGTAAAATTCCAGCAGTGCTGGCTCTTGGATGAGACTTCTGCTTGACAAAAGTGGAGAAAAAACTAAAGAGGACTTTGTCTTGCACCTTAGGTACCAGTTTGACCACAGAAGTGTAGAACACGAGCTGGGCTCTTGAGGCCTCTGATTCCAGGCCTTGAAAATTGAATGGCATTTCTGGACCCTCCCTGGGCCAGGAATATTGTCAGTAGTTTGGCAGTGCTCCCTCTGGACCTTTGATGGTAGTTGCCACAGAGTGAGTCTCCTCTGCCTTTGAAAAGGTGAAGAAAGAGCATAAAGGACTAACCCTCCCAACCGGGGTCACTAGCCAACCTCGCTGGTATTTTCCAGCTGGCAGTGGTCTCAAACCTTTCTGGGACAGAACTCTGAGGGAAAGGGACAGGTCTCCATCTTTACTGTTTTGCAGCTTTACCCATTTTTGTCTTAGGGATATAGGAAGTATGAGGTGACTAGAGACTGAAGCAGTTCCCTGGCACAGTTCGGAAGTTCTATAGAGAACCACCCAAGCTGTATTTTCACATGGGTTCCAGATTGTGTTTCTAGTTAGTGGATGGAATCTCCTAAGGTCTGCAACTACCCTGGTGTGTTCAGGCTGGCAACAGGTCTGTACCTCCCTGGGATAGGGCTCCTAGAGGGAGGTGCTGGCTGCCATCTTTGCTGTTTTGCAGCCTCCACTGTTGATACCTTCTGATGCTGGAATATTGGAGGTGACCAGAGTCTGGAGTGAACACACAGCATACTGTAGCAGCCCCATAGTAAAGCAGCCAGACTGTTTTTTACATGAGTCTCTGATCCCATATCTACTTGCTAAGCAAGTCCTCCTGGCCTTGGTCTCCAGCCAGCCCCTGCTGGGGCTATTGAGCTGGTAGCAGCTCTGCAACTTCCAGAAATAAAGCTGTCAGTGTGAGGAGTGGGTTGCCATGTATATTATATTGCAGCCCTCACCCTTGCTGCCACTAGGCTCTGGAAAGTCCACAGGGACCAGGAGCTTGTCCAGACCCCTGGCACAAAGCATACACTCCATGGAAAAATGGCCATACTATTCTCCATGCAGGTTCCAGGTCTCATCTCTTTTCACTGGGCAGGGCTGTCTGACCTGACACTCCAGCACAACCATACTTCTCTAAACTGACTACTTGAATTAGAGGCAGCCTAGCAGTAATAGGAACATTCACATGCAGAGATAAGAAAAAATTAACACAAGAACTCTGGCAGCTCAAATGGCCAGAGTATCTTATGTCCACCAAATAACCATACTAGTTTTCCAACAGAGGATCTTAACCTGGCTGAGTTGACTGAAATGACAGAAATAGAATTCACAATAGGAATAGAAATGAAGACTATTGAGCTTCTAGACACAACATAACCCAATCAAATAAAAGTAAAAATTACAATAAAACAATACAGGAGCTAACAGATAAAATAGCCAGTATAAAACAGAAGCTAACTGACATAGTAGAGCTGAAATATACACTGCAAAAATTTTACAGTGCAATCACAAGTATTCATAGCAGAATAGACAAAGTTGAGAAAAGAATCACAGAACTTGGAGACTAGCTCTCTGAAATAAGACAGTCAGACAAAAATAAAAGAAAAGAACAAAAAGGAATGAAGAAAACCTCTGAGACATATGGCAATATGTAAAAAGGCCAAATATATAAATCATTGGCATTCCTGTAAGAGACTGAATGAAAAAACTTGGAAAACATATTTTAGAATATTGTCCATAAAAATATTCCCAACCTCACTAGAGAGGTCAACAGTACAATTTAGGAAATACAGAAAATCCTGGCAAGGTTCTACACAAGAAGATCATTCTTAAGACACATAATCATCAGATTTTTCATGATCAAAATGAAGGAAAGAATGTTAAAGGCAGCTAGAAGAAAAGGGCAGGTCATCTACAAAGTAAATGTCAACAGGCTAACAGCAAACCTCTAAGTAGAAACCGTATATGCCGAAAGAAATTGGTGGTGTATATTCAATATTCTTAAAAAAAAAATCTTCAACCGAGAATGTAATATCCAATCAAACTAAGCTTTCTAAGAAAGAAAGAAATAAGATCTTTTCAGATAGCAAATACTGAGGGAGTTTGCTAGCACCAGAGCCACCTTACAAGAGATCTTGAAGGGAGCACTAAACATGAAAAGAAAAGGTTGTTATCATCCAACGCAAAAACACACTTAAATACATAGACTAATGACACTATAAAGCAACCACACAAACAAACTGGCATAATAACGAGCTAACCACATGATGACAGGATCAAATTGATGCATTTTAATGTCAATATTAAATGTAAATGTGTTAAATAACCCATTTGGAAAGCAGAGACTGGCAAGCTGTATAAAAAAGCAAGATCTTCTAGGGTTTTTATGGTGTTAGGTCTTATGTTTAAGTCTTTAAGACCTAACACCAAAAAACTCTAGAAGAAAACCTAGGCAAAACCATTCAGGACATAGGCATAGGCAAGGACTTCATGACCAAAACACCAAAAGCATTGGCAAGAAAAGCCAAAATAGAAAAATAGTATCTAATTAAACTCCAGAGCTTCTGCACAGCAAAATAAACAATCATTAGACTGAACTGGCAACAAACAGAATGGGAAAATATTTTTCAGTCTATCCATCTGACAAAGGGCTAATATCCAGAATCTACAAAGAACTAAAACAGATTTACGAGAAAAAAACAAACAAACCCATTCAAAAGTGGGCAAAGGATATGAACAGATACTTTTCAAAAGAAGACATATATGAGGTCAACAAACATGAATAAATGCTCACCATCACTGGTCATTAGAGAAATGCAAATCAAAACCACATTGAGATACCATCTCATGCCAGTTATAATGGCAATCATCAAAAAATCTGGAGACAAGAGATGCTGGAGAGGATGTGGAGAAATAGCAACACTTTTACACTGTTGGTGGGAGTGTAAACTAGTTCAACCATTTTGGAAGACAGTGTGGCAAATTCGTCAAGGACCTAGAAATAGAAATTCCATTTGATCCACCAATCCCATTACTGGGTATATATCCAAAGGATTTTAAATCATTTTATTATAAGGACACATGAACATATATGTTCATTGCAGCACTGTTTACAATAGCAAAGACCGGGAACCAACCCAAATGCCCATCAATGATAGACTGGATAAAGAAAATGTGACACATATACAGCACGGAATACTATGCAGCCATAAAAAATGATGAGTTTATGTCCTTTGTAGAGACATGGATGAATCTGGAAACCATCATTCTCAGCAAACTGACACAAGAAAAGAAAATCTCACTCACAGGTGGGTGTTGAACAATGAGAACACGTGGACACAGGGAGGGGAGCAACACACACTGGGGTCTGTTGGGGGTGCCTAGAGGAGGGACAGCAGGGGGTGTAGAGGTTGGGGAAAGATAACATGGCAAGAAATGACAGATATAGGTGATGGGGGGGTGGAGGCAGCAAACCACATTGCCATGCATGTACCTACGCAGCAATCTTGCTTGATCTGCACATGTACCCCAAAACCTAACCTAAAATACTACACACACACACACACACACACACAAACACACACACACACACACACATAAAGCAAGATCTAATAGAATGCTGTTTTCGGGAGACCTATGTCCCCTGATAGGCTCAAAATAGAGGGATAAAGAAAAATATAACAAGCTAATGGAAAACATTAAAAAAGCAGGGGTTGCAATCTTTATTTCAGCCAAAACAGAATTTAAATCCACAAAGATCAAAAAGACACAGAACAACATTCATAATGGCAAAGGGTTTTCAATTCAACAAGATGATGTAACTACCTCAAATATATATGCACCAAACACAGAAGCACCCAGACTCATAAAGCAGGTACTTACAGACCTGTGAAAAGACTTAGACTCCCACACAATAGTAATGGGATACTTCAACAGTCCACTAACAGTATGACACAGATAATTGAGGCAGAAAATTAAGAAAAATATTCAGGACCTGAACTCAACATTGGACTAAATGGAATTGATAGACATCTACAGAACTCTTCACCCCAAAACAACAGAATATACATTCTTCTTGTTGCCACATGTCACATATTCTAAAATCTATCATATAACCAGTCTTAAAATAATCCTCAGCAAATTCAAAAGAGCTAAAATTATAGTAAACATACTTTCAGACCACAGCTCAATAAAATAAAGACTAAAAAAATGCTCAAAACCATTAATTACATAAAAAATTTAAAACCTGCTTCTGAATAATGAGAAAGATGCAAAATACTGTAATATCTAGAACCCAGACAAGTGTAAGGAATTTAAATTTGGATTAGTCTTGTTTAGGCTTCAGGAGCAATCTTAGGCCTCTGAACAACAAATGACCCCATGTGGCTACATGCCAATAAAAAAGGTAAACACCCACCAGTCCTAAGAAACATTAGAGAAAAAAGGGAGTGTGTTGTGGAACTTCTCAAACCTTTCAAATCTGGCCAATTCTCCAAATCTCAGAACATCCTAAGACACACAAAGTAAAAGATTAAGCATTATAGATTAAATCTTTGGAGCTGCATATTTGCACATTAGCTGGTAATTTCAGCTAGTGGTTTGGTAATATAAGCTAGGACCCTCTGACTGCTCTCTGAAGTTGCACTATTGAAATGAATGTACTGCCTGGAACCATTTTAATTGGGACTCCAGATTGTTATTTTTGGGACTTCTCAGCACTGCTTGATCTGGATGTATGTATTCTCCCCAATTTGGTGAATACA